TCAGGAAGGGTATAGCTTTGGCTTTTCCATGATCCTCTCTTGCAGGATCCTGATTTTTTTCTTCTAAACAAAAATTCAACAATCCGTTCCATTGCAAACATGATGCCCTCATAGACTTCTTCTCTTCATGTAAAACAACTTATTAAAGATTTTCCATGTGATTCCATATGAGCAATGAGCAGCATATTAAACTTGAATGCACCTGCAAGATCTAACGCCACAGTTTTTGCCCAGGACTTCCCATAGCTAAAGCCTTTTCATAGTCAAATCAACAACGTAATCGCTCTGGGACAAAAGAAAACTCCTAGTAAAAAAACAAAAACCAGCCCCACTGAGCGTTCAGTGCCCAGCATAAATATTAAATTGCACTTTCAGCTGAAGTGCACCAGCCGCGCACACAAAAGCCATATCAGTCTGTCAAGAGTCAAGTTCAGTGTATATCTGATGGTAGAGTTGGCTATGTTGCTTTTGTGAGGCTTGATTAACTGTAGCGAGTTAGGAGAGGTTTCCAGTGAATGCTTTGTTTCCACTGAGAGATGTAATAACACCATCTCAGTATGAAACCCCGCTTTTTGTTTTTAATAAATGGCTCTACTGCAGCTTATGAATGTAGCCTGATTACATAAAGTTTGATGGCGGTGAGTTTCTTTTTGTGCCCCAGGCAGGATTAAAACAGTATTAACTGGTCTTAGTCATTGTATGCATTGCATTGCATTTTTGTTCCTACTTTGTAGCATATGGTTTTGGGTGTTTTGATGCTTCAGTTTTTGTTGAGAGTGCCATATGAAAGGTAGCTGAGAAGACATGATTGGTTTTGATTGGCTATTGAAACCCCAAGAGCCACACTGATTCTACATGTGGGAGGTTAGCTGGCACTATCAGTGTAATTCTCTCTTCTCCGCACTGCTTCTAATTTCAAATTTTATTCAAAGGTGTCAATGAAAATAACAAGCATTTTAATAGGATTCTCAAAAGCAATCAGAGGTTGTTAAATATGGAGTGAAATGTTCAGCGAGAACTACGATTAACTTAAATGTCCATCATAATCTTTACAAAATTAATACATACGTTTTTATAAATTATTTTTAATAAATTAGGCTGGTAACACTTTAGCATAGGGACTAATTCTCACTATTAATTGCTTATTAGCATGCCTATCATTAACATATTGGCTGTTTATTAGTACTTATAAAGCACATATTCTGCATGACCCCAATTATTACCCCACATATTCTGCATGATCCCTAAACCTACCCAATACCTAAACTTAACAACTACTCCTAATTTGCTGCTTATTAATACTAACTATTAATAAGCAGCAAATTAGGAGTTTATTGAGGCAAAAGTCGTAGTTAATGGTTTGTTAATAGCGAGAATTGGACTTTCATTTTGGACACCTTAAAATGAAGTGTGACCATTAGGCTTCAGCTGCTAATGATTCAGACTTTTCTGGCAGGTCCCAACACTGACTTTAATGTGTAAATGTTGACATCATGTGGTCACTGCATGAATTGCAGTCCAACATCTGCACTAAGCTAAACAACATAAAGACATATATACAGTATATATATATATATATATATATTCAGTATGTAAAGTACAGTCATTACAAAAACTGCAGTTATTTTTATTATTTATTTATTTACGACTGTACATTATATCAGTTACTGCTTGTCTACTTAACAACTAAATAAGCAAAATGCAAATGTGAGTCAGAATTATTTGATTATGTAAGAGGAAAGATACCACAGAAGATGCTTGGAACTTACAAAAAAGTGTAGTTAGCTGCTTGTCAATAGTCAGTATATCATTTTGTGGTCATTACATTAGCTGTGTAATAATTAATAAAAAGAAAAGAAAATTTATTTTTGCATGTCTATAAGATAAAGCAAGACACTGCTTACCAAGCAAACAGCCTACACACACACACAAACGTGAGATTCCTGAATAAATATGAAACTTGCCCTTAACTGAAACGCCTACTCTAAGAAAAGCAATCAAACTGGTCTGTAACAAAGAAACAGGAACTATCCAGACCCATCCTTAAAATTCTCTCACAAACATGTTACCTGGACTCTTTGTCTGTGTCTCCAGTGCCATTCTCACGGGACGGTGACGGCAAGGAGCAAACTGAATCCCGGCTCCTGGGTAACAAAGTAGAGGGCATACACAGCCATGTCTCCAGATCAGAGAATTTGGAGTAGCTCAGCATTTCTAAAACACTGCAGTATAGGAATACAAAGACATATCATGTCAGTCATGCTTTTTTAAATATATTACAGTAACAAATAGTGTATACTTTTAAAAATATATGAAAAAAGAATGTGTAATGTGATCAAGTATATATATATACTTATAGTACCTGTCCTCTCCCATTCCTGGGATTTCATATTTGTGACAACCACATGGTGTTCGTGATTCCTGTGGAGCCAGCAGGCAAGTTTTCTCGGTCTCATAAGACATCTTGAGCCATTTCTGAGGAAAACAGAACAACCTGTTAGTGCACTGTATGCTGATCATTTTCTTCTACAGCCACTAACGAAGCCAAATTACACAGCCAATTATCCACATGGCTAATGTTTTGGACCTGAGGTCACTTGGCACAGGTCCCTGCTGGTGGTGCCAAACCGAATCTGGCAAATCAAGCCTGCACACATTATTAATGCTCATACAGTACATGTGGCTCAGTAGCCTTTTAAGTTTTAATACAACATGTGAATTCTGTCCTGTCCTAACATTTTAAATATGAAATCATAAACGTAGAAATATTAAATGTTACCTTTTACATTTTGCTTTTTCATGATGAATTGTTTTACTGTTTACATTTTACTGAAAAGTCAAACCAGGCAGGTTCCATTGTGACAACTTACTCCATATGGTGTGACAGCATTTCGTGGTAAATGTTTAAATGAACTGAATCTTTTCCCCCCTGGGCAATAACGGTGGAAATGTTCAATTTTTTGTAGCTTTAATGTATGTTACTATACAGAAACTGACTTTCAAAAATAAACATTCACTTCCTTAATCACTACAGAAATGCCTTTGAACAAATTATCTTTAGCAGACTTGTGGTTTCGAAATGAACTTTAAAATGTCCTCACACTTTTCCCATCACAACACTGTTCATATCCCACATGTATCCATCTTTAATTACTCCTCTTCCTTTCATATAACACCCCACATTCACTGCAAACAGTCCAGTTGCTATGTACACTGTAAAGCTGACAGATTTTCACGCTACGTACAGTATAGACAGCTTCATTGAATACGAGCACGGACTCGTTTGGAAAAGGAGGGAATGTACCTCTTTGTTCTCCGGTTCTGGACTCAAGGAACCGCTGCAGATCCTCAGAACATCTGCATCCTCTTCCCGTAAAACCCTGAAACTGGACTCAAAACTTCCCGTTACGTGTCTTCCACTCAGGCGTAGTGAAAAGTCTAACTCCTGCGAGTGTATTTAGGAACAAAAGCTAAAGATTTCTGCAAAACTCACCAAATATGATCCCTGTTCGCCATCAGGAAGTGAAGGAACCCTGTCATCTGCTCCGAAGATATGCGCTTTGCATCTCTGTTCAATAACTATAAACTATGTTCCACGGAGTAATGTTTTAATAGCCTATGTTTTGCTAACGACCGTATGAACGTTAAAATGTCGATTTTCGTTGAATCCCGTCCTGTCCTGATTTTTTGTGCTTGTCAGTTTAAGATAAGACAGGAAATATTTATGTCGTTATCCAGGAAAATGAGAGACTGCAATTATCTCACATAAACAGTTCATCTTCATGTTGATGTAACCAAAGAACATCTCAGCCATTTCCACCAAACAACATGACTAGCCTCATTGATATACTATAAAGTTTTTGTACATTCATGAGAAATATGTAACACTGTTAATTCAACTACACACACACACAAGAAATATTAAATGTTACCTTTTACATTTTGCTTTTTCATGATGAATTGTTTTACTGTTTACATTTTACTGAAAAGTCAAACCAGGCAGGTTCCATTGTGACAACTTACTCCATATGGTGTGACAGCATTTCGTGGTAAATGTTTAAATGAACTGAATCTTTTCCCCCCTGGGCAATAACGGTGGAAATGTTCAATTTTTTGTAGCTTTAATGTATGTTACTATACAGAAACTGACTTTCAAAAATAAACATTCACTTCCTTAATCACTACAGAAATGCCTTTGAACAAATTATCTTTAGCAGACTTGTGGTTTCGAAATGAACTTTAAAATGTCCTCACACTTTTCCCATCACAACACTGTTCATATCCCACATGTATCCATCTTTAATTACTCCTCTTCCTTTCATATAACACCCCACATTCACTGCAAACAGTCCAGTTGCTATGTACACTGTAAAGCTGACAGATTTTCACGCTACGTACAGTATAGACAGCTTCATTGAATACGAGCACGGACTCGTTTGGAAAAGGAGGGAATGTACCTCTTTGTTCTCCGGTTCTGGACTCAAGGAACCGCTGCGGATCCTCAGAACATCTGCATCCTCTTCCCGTAAAACCCTGAAACTGGACTCAAAACTTCCCGTTACGTGTCTTCCACTCAGGCGTAGTGAAAAGTCTAACTCCTGCGAGTGTATTTAGGAACAAAAGCTAAAGATTTCTGCAAAACTCACCAAATATGATCCCTGTTCGCCATCAGGAAGTGAAGGAACCCTGACATCTGCTCCGAAGATATGCGCTTTTCATCTCTGTTCAGTAACTATAAACTATGTTCCACGGAGTAATGTTTTAATAGCCTATGTTTTGCTAACGACCGTATGAACGTTAAAATGTCGATTTTCGTTGAATCCCGTCCTGTCCTGATTTTTTGTGCTTGTCATTTTAAGATAAGACAGGAAATATTTATGTCGTTATCCAGGAAAATGAGAGACTGCAATTATCTCACATAAACAGTTCATCTTCATGTTGATGTAACCAAAGAACATCTCAGCCATTTCCACCAAACAACATGACTAGCCTCATTGATATACTATAAAGTTTTTGTACATTCATGAGAAATATGTAACACTGTTAATTCAACTACACACACACACACACACACACAACCCTCTGCCAAACTAAGAGAGCGTCATGTGATTATTCACTGGTTTTATTAAAGTAATTGTTTAAAAAAACAATTTTTTTTTTGTGCAGGTTTTAGCTATTTCATTTGTCAGAAATATGCAGCTATTGTTAAAACTGCCTGTAAAAAGTTTTGTAAATTAATCTAAAATGCACTTTATGTGATAACTTCTAAATAAGCTGATTTTACTCGAGTCAAATTAAGCATTAACATAGTGATTTTAAAAGGCTGGGGAGGGACATACTGTAAAATACTTCTGAAAATTAAATACATTTAATGCTGTTTTTAAACATTACAGTCCAAATGATATATAATTATACATTTATAATTTATCTTCCATTTTACAGTTTGTGTCTTACTTGATAAATTACATGTAAAAGATCCTCAAGGTCAGCAGACATTTCACTTTTAGATAAAGATTGATGCTGCTTTTACCAAGTCATGTGAGTATGACACCCCTTTTAATATTTTCCCAGATATTAGGCCCACTCACTCTTGATAAAACTTTTTTCCCTGTTAGTCACTATAAAGACCACATGAGGGAGCTTTAACCAATGTATATCTTCCGTGACTGAACAGATCTCCTGACTAACAGCTTCATGAATCCAGCTGAAGTTTTTTCAGCAGACAAAAGTTATTTTCTGAGAAATGAGAGATTTAGTGAGTCTCTAGACTTCTTCATGCACTACACAGATCACAATGCAGATGAGCAAGAGCCCGAGCACAGCACCCAGTAACGGGAGAGGGAATAAGATGAAAGAGGCAGAGAGCATTGAACATCTGTCTGTAATTGACGGCATGGCCAGAGAATCTAGGGGAGTGCGTGGCCTTGCAGCTGTGGTGCACAGATTTGTTTTCGTTTCTTGGATACTGTGGCACCCTGGTGGCTCAGAAACTGACCCACCACAGGAATGATTTCGTACGATTCCAATGGATATGTGCAGTCAGTATGTAGAGGGTTAAGTATCAAGGTAGTCTTTAAAAGAAGAGAAACATATTGAAGAAAAAAATAACTTCATTTCAGTCTGGTTACCACTCCAGGGCACATATGCTTCATCTCATGGTAAGTTTCTCCTTCAGCTTCTCAGAAGCTTTATACTTTATGCATTAAACTTGCTGCATCATGACTGTAGCGAACTGGTAACTAATTTAAAGATATTTTTGTAACTTTACTTTGCTGCTTTGTATATCTGCTCATACATTATCTTTCAAAAGTTTAGGGTCGGCAAGATTTTTAAAATGTTTTTGAAGTCTCTAACCAAGGCTGCATTTATTTAGTCAAAAAACATTAAAAACAGTAATATTGTTCAATATTATTATAATTGAAAATAAATATTTTCTATTTTAATGTACTTTAAAATATAATTCATTTTAAGCAGCCATTAATCCATTCTACAGTGTCATACAATCCTTCAAAAATCATTCTAATATGTTGATTTGGTGCTAAAGTATAGCTTTTTCTTATTGTTATCATTACTATTATGTTCAAAACTGCTGTGCTGCTTAATATTTTTGTGGAACCATGAAACATTTTTTTCAAGATTCGTTGATGAATGGAAAGCTCAAAGGAACATCATTTACTTGAAATAGAACTTTTGAACAGTAGAGTATTAAATTTTTATTTATTTTCATAACTCTTAAAATGATAAACAGTCTTAAAATGACCAGATTACAAAACAAAGTGACTATATTACTTTTTTCATCCAGCCTGTATTTTTAGGATATGATTATACTTTATAATATATATATTATAAAGTATACTTTAGATATACTTTATTAATCTCCTGGGGGAAATTACAGCAATAAAAAATAAATCTCAGTATAGGAACTATAGCAATAATATACAGCATCATACAATACAACTCAAAGCTAATCCAAAATATTATTGTAAAATTATTTTTTTAGTGCAAATATTGTACTTGATGAATGTACATAGTGAATGACTGAGCAAATGAATAGATAGCAATAATAAATAATACCAAAAAGATATGTACATGGATGGATGAATCAATGAATATACATGAATAAATAT